TGTCAGATACTTCCTCTTCTGAGATAAAGCAACTGTAGTATCTTGTTCAAATTGACACCGATTTTACTGTTAAGAGTCTTGATAGTGATTCACTCAAAAGGCACATGTCATAATTTTGCTGTTTTATAGGCTTCTTAATGTCTGAAGAAGCAGCAGAATTTTTTGAAAACACTTGAGGTGTTTTGTGTGTCTGGCTTATTAGACAATCAGACATGCTGATGTGCCCTCAGCCCTCTGTCTGTCTTAAAGGTATCATAAACCCTTAAGTATGGGTTACCAGTACAGTCGGGTGCTCTGTCTGTAGATGTCTCAGGCAAAACTGCACGTACAACTTCTTCCAACAGATGCAGATGGTATTTCTGGGTTTAGTTTTCTTGTTGTCTTTTCCTTTTGTTTTTAAAACGGGATAATTTTGACACCTACTAAACTTGACTGTGTTGTTACCGATCTGTTAACCCTCATCTGTTCAAAACAGTGATAGGAAAAATCTCTCTTCTTTTCCACCTAGTTTTTTGGACCTTACACAAACAACACTCTGTTTGAGACAGATGAACGCTACCGCCACTTTGGATTCTCTGTCGATGACCTTGGCTGCTGCAAAGTTATTCGTCATAACATCTGGGGTACTCATGTTGTTGTGGGAAGCATTTTCACTAACGCTGAACCTGACAGCCCTATCATGAGAAAACTAAGTGGGAATTAACAGTTGACAGGGTTTTGCAGATCCGTGTGACTTTGGCATTCTTTGCCTTGGTGGTGCTTCGTAAGCGTTGTCAGAAAGTACCGCACTTGAAACAGTTTTAGATAATAAAGTATCTGCTATTTATTTTAGTCTCACGACTCTGCTCATCACCTGTGATTTGGAATGTTATTTGACGCTGTTTTAACAGGTACTTGTATGTGCCATGGGAATTTGAAGCTGTGAGTTTCCCTCGTCTTTGAGTTCAAACTCAGTTGGCTGAGTACCCAGCAGCTCTGCATAGCCTCTTACCATTATCAGCTGTTCTGTCATTTGGTATCTGACAAATCTGTGTTCTTTGCATTGAAAAATCTTGATGCAACTGAATTTTCTAGGAGTTATGACCACTTACTGCAGTGAATTAGTGGGGGAGAGGAGCAAGTAATAGTACCATTCTCTCATAATATGAAACTTAATGAAGGCTGCAGCAGTGAATACTGGGCTAATTAATTGCTCATGCAGTGCTCTAAAAAGAATAAGTTAAGCTTTTAGGAATCTTTGCCTGCAAGTAGTACTGCTTTAGAGAAGTGCTGATGTCACTGCTATGTCCAGAGACTCAGTGAGAAGCCTTAACTCTAGAATCAGTCATCTCTTCACGTTTCTGTCTTCATGTTGCTTGTGATTTTATTTTCTCAGTGTTAGCTAAATATGTTGAACTATTTTATATCTGTAAATGTAATTTAAACTTGCTTTTGGAATTTTTTAAGGTCATTAAATACATTGATGTGGGCTAAAGAAAAAGATAACAGGGCAATGCTTGGATACCCTCACTGTTTTTTCTTTTACTTTAATGCAACTGAGATTTATCTCTGGAATTTCAAAATGCCTCAGCAAAAGGCAATTATGATCAATTGCTGTAATTACAATCAATTATAGAAAACATTTCAGCAGGAAGGCTTCAGTAAATAAGTCGGTCTCTTCAGACGACATAAAAACCTTCAAATCAATTGAGGTTACTGGAGAAACAGTGAGGAAAATTCGAGACATCTGAAATCTCAAAAGCTGTCAGCTGCCTCACTACAGAAGCTAGGTAATTAATGTTGCTGCACTCACTTTTTAGGACTGTTTGGCAATATACCACAGCTGTAGCTGTTTATGCAACAATAGAAATCTTTCAGTCTCAGTCAAAATTAAATGGATCCTTTGTCTGGATGATGGCTGCCAAGATGATGTGTTCAGAGGTTTAGCTTCCTTTCAGATAGCTTGGGATTTCAATAATCATTTTTTCCCCAGTATTAATAATTAGACTTAGCACATATTCTAGGTTTGTGTACTGTTTCTATTCCTTATTCAGGTTCAGTTTGCCAGTTCAGTAAGCCAGTTTGTCACCAAAGTCCTTCTGCTGGCTTTATTTAGTAGGCTTAGGACCAGACCCTTACCAAGTGCCTGTGTCTGGCCTTGTTAATGACTGCCTGATCGCAGAGGTGCAGTTGAGGAGGGCTCTCCCTGCTGAAGTAATGACAACTACCTTCTCTATTCTCACCCTGGCAAGCCAGCCATTCAGTTTGTGTTGCCAGCATCACCATTGTTGGCTCCAGCCTATATGCATTCCAAGGCTGAAGTGTGTGGCTGTTGAGGCAGGATTTGCTTACTGCAGTGTCGTGGAATCTGCCATGTTTCTGGAACATGAGCTCTTCACCTCCTGTCTGCTGGCTAAGAAAGTTGTAATATTCAAAGCCTGCTTTATTTTTTGGCCTTGTTGTTGAAAGGATTTAAAAAATACTGAAGGAGTTGCAGAGTATCCTTGTACAGAACCAACTGAAGCATAATTCTTTTGCAGAGTACGTGTTACCTCATTTGATGATGGAGGGTTGTTGTCTCAGTGCACAGCACCATTGTAGACAACTTAGCTGGATAAATACTAGACAACTTCTGTGAAATGCTTCACATAGTTTAACTATGCTGAAGGCTCTTGGTGCTCTTTGTTTTCTTCCAGTGACTTTGTTGTACCTGCCTTTCTATATATTTTTTTTAATTGAGGTATATTTTCAGGCAGCTGTCCAAATTAAACTTGAGACACCAGTTTCTGAGTTCATACCCTGTAAAGCTTCATGCTGGAAAACGTGGGGGTTTTTTGGTTGCTTTATTTCTTTTTTTTTTTATTAACTTTTCAAATGGCTTTGACCCAAGGCAAAAAAACTCACTGAAAATAGTGGGGATTCTGCCTTGACATCACTGATAGTATTTCATGCTAGAAGTTGAGGGGAGATCTTTTGTGGTATTTTTCTAACTAACATTTCCTTGTACATAAAAGCTTACTAAAACTCTCAAAAGAGGCTAGAACTATTCAGTTCTGTTCCCTTTCATCAGAAGGGATTTATTGTACATTAATTTGCTACTGTGAAATAAAGGTTTTGGAATACAGTGTGATGAGCTGTACTTCTGCTAATAAAAAAAGCATCAAATGAAACACTGCTCAGTGTCACAAGTTGGGATCCTTTCTGTGGTAAATAAATGAAAAGAGATTTGATGCAATGTTATGTCTGTTCTTAGCAAGGATTGATGTTCTATGGGAAGTTCTTATCAGCTTGGGGAGAGTTTCTTAAAGTGTGGCACTTTTAGTGAAGAGTGAACTCAAGCTATTTGAAGTAATGCTGAGCCTCACAAGAGCAGTGCTGTGACTGTGGTTATTTGCAGACTTTAATATACACAGTGGATGTGCCTAAAATATGCAAGGCTAAAAATTGTTTGTACTGGTCAGAAAGCTAAAACAAAATGTTATAGGTGAAGTACTTGCCACTTAGTTGCCTTAAGATATGAAAGTGGTGCTAAACGTCTCTTCAAAGAATTCATACTGAAGTTGAGAAATGACATGGAGCATTTTGTCTTAAATAGCAGAATCTTATGTGAGCAGTTATCCTGGTGAAGTTCTACACTGCTGTGAAGTAAAGAACCCTATTCTCCTTCCACCAGCAGCCACCTGGCTGGAATTGAAGTGCTCGAAGTAATCCACAAGGTCAAAGGTATCTTGGGGGAGAAGGCCCCTTTTCTTTGACTTGCCATCTCGACTGCAGGCTTGTTGCCCTTTCTTGCTAATTGCAGTGTCACTCAGCAAGAGATTCTCTGGTTCATAAACATGCAGGGAAGCATGGCTGTAACATTAGACAGCTCCAGGTAGCTGATCCAGAAAGGTAAGGCTGCAAAGGTGTAAGCTGCTTTGTCACAGTAACAGATGTAAAACTTGGTCTGTGAGCTTGTTTGGCTCTAAAAGGTTCTGCCCAGTCGGGCTAAACTAATTGCAGAAATCTTAGATAGTGGGGGGAAATGCATAAACATGGGAGATCTCTGTGGTGTGTGTTGACACTGGTTCAAACAATTTGAATGGAGTATGGAAAAGTGATACAATTTTTATGCTCTGAGAGATTTGTATAATCCAAGCCTTCAGAGAACACTCACCATGCTCTTTTAGTCAGCTCTCCCCTCAGGCAGCAGTAGAGCAGCTCTCTGTGAGATTTGTCTGCTGGACTGAAGGAAACATGAAAGCTGCTGGTTGATAGAAAGCATGGAATTGGTTTTCAAGGTGCACGTCCCAACTGAAGCTTCTGAAATGTCTGATGGATTCAGGTAAGGAGATAACCTTCTAATGCAATGCAATTCAGATATTCAGCATATTTATTCTTGATCTGAGCATTTGAGAAATTAGGTAGTTGATTAAACCATATGTTCCCACTTAAAAGGTGATCATGTGTATTAAATGAATTCCTGCTCTTGCTCCCAAGTTCATATTTGGTAGGCACTGATGAAGCTCTTGCATTTGGAGATGGCATGTTAGCATTGCAGCAGGGATGTTAAAGGCTGACACATGGAGGAGATATGTAACTGGTGAGAGGATAATTGAGGACTGAAGTGCCTCACTTGATCCAAAAGGAAATATCTCATATATGCTTATTTTTAGATGCCCTGTTTTGTTAGAAAGATGGATGTTTTCCACACCATTTTCATGTGTTCTGGGGATTTTTTTCAGATTTCTTTATGCAAAGTCAAAAACCATAACTTATGTTCTGTATGAATAGTTGTTTTTATTACATATGCCTTAACTTCTTTTTCTTTTTTTTCCATTGCAGTGTTCCATCTCAGTATTTAACATTACGGCATGGGCTGTGTCCTGCACGTGGATGGGGTGCTGGGAGTGCACATGAGCTTGCTTGAGAAAATGTATTACCTATGTAACTGATTTGTCAGGAAGGAGTGTTAAGATTATTCAGTATTTTCTAGCTATTAATTGTAGATTAATTCCAGAAATTAATTAAAAATTAAAAAAAAAAAAAAAAACACCAAAAACACTGATACAGAGTGACATTCCAGCAGTTTATTTTACTTGATCACCTTTCCTCTCAAAGCATAACTTAAGCTGGGCCAACTACTTTTTGCAGTTAGTGATGAACTACTGAAGTTCTGACCCTGTTACTGAAGCTGCTGCCCAAAGGCCTTCCCCCATCAATCCGAATCTGCAGCACCTGAGCTCTACTTGCTGCACTGATACCACCTGGGTGTTGTGTTGCTAACCATAGGGGACAGGAGGCTGGCTGTTCTGCATCTTTTTGTTGAAGCTGGCAGAGCTAATTTCCACTAAGTAAAGGTATGTGTCCTCACACTTAAATGCACCAAGGTTGCACGTTGCCATGCACGTGTGCTTTGTGTCTCAGTTTTTGTGCAGGCTGTCACTTGCACAGAGGAGCCTTTCTGTGGGTGCCTAGGAGCTACATGCACATATGCACATACATCCCTGTGCCTGAGGCTTGCAGCAGCTGCTCAGTGACAACAGCAACAAGTTGTATCAGCTGCAGGAATGGTGATGTGTTGGCTTTTTCATAGGATCCTGCCCTATTATAGTTCTCTTTGTTTCTAAGGGAACAACAGCATCTGGCAGTGCTTTGTCAGGAGCAAATCCTCACTGTGGGATGCGTGCAGCACTGCTTACATCTCCTGCTAAGATATCTTTCAGAGACAGTTTGCTTTTGGCACGTGTGGGTTTTCTCACACAAGGTCTAACCTTGGTGTATGTATGCTCTGTATGTGCCTTCACCAGGTAGCTGCCATTGAATAGTTTGCTCTTGATCACATCCCAAACATCTCAAAAGTTTTTATGTTGCAGTAATAAGTAGGAAAAAAAAAAAAGTCTCCTTTACCCATTGGTTATCAGGGAACACAGGTGGGTAATAGGCTCAGCATGCTGCAGCTGTGCCACTGTGCCCAGTCAAACCCAGTTTGTCTCAGAGCACAGAGCTGCTCTGAGCTGCTGCTCTCCTCCTGGCTCTGCTGATGTGGTTGTTTAGTTGGTGCACCCCTAAATTTGGTAAGTTGTGCTCTTTAAGATGTGCTTAGCTCTGAAAATAATTGAAATTGCTGTAGAAGTTCATTGCAGGGGATCCCAGGACCACTAGAGTGGTGTCTGCTTGGGAGAGCTGAAGCTAGAATGTCTTGATTGAAAGTTATTTTCTAATTTCAGTAGAATTTAAACCTTGGAGTGGGACTGGGAAGTTGGAATTTATTTTCAAGACTGCTGTATTTACCTCTGGAAGTTCTGTACGTTTTTCTCAGTCTGAGGGCAGAATGTGGTGATGGGGAGTGGGCTGCAGCTGGTGCAGCCTGTGTGCCAGGAGCAGCAGGGAACAGCAGTTGTGTGTGTGTGCTGCAGATACCATCATTCCCACATCGTGGTCTAATGAGATTTCATGCATTTTTTGGATGATTCATCTCATTAAATTCTTTCTGTCTGTTCAGCTTATTGCTTAATGCTAAAGAAGTTATTAAAAAAAAAAAATCTCTAGCTATGTAGCTAGCTGTTCTGCTTACATGTTTAAGTGCTGTTTGAGCCATAACTTTTCACTACTGCCTGTACATATTCAGCAGTTACCTGTGGTCACCTCTGTGCACCCTGTGGTTTTGGTGCTCACCCATCCACGTTGCCTATGGGAAGCCCCCTGCCCCTATGCACACCTGGCACCCGTACAAAGCCCCCAGTAATTAAGAGCTGCAAACTGCTTTTGTCTGCCACAGGGCCTCTGAAATAGCAGCATTTCCCCTTAGCAATGCCATTTTTGCTCTGAGTGTGTTCCAGCAAGGTTCAGGCTGCTATTTCAAGAGCTGCACAAACACAAAGTTCTGATCAGTGCAGGCTCTGGTGAGGGAGAGCTAACAGGATTATGAGACTGAAATTTCATGCAGCTGGGTGTTATGCTTCAGCTGGAAAGTAATCGCCTCCAAGAGAAGTGCTGTGCCAGCCAGGCTGGGGGAGCTTTCAGAAACATGAACTTTTTCTGGGGCGGGGGATTTTGGGGAGCTGTGCCTTCTAATTAATGTGGGATTGTTTCAGTAAAGCTCTTCAGGCTATGATCAGTGCCGCATTGCTCTATAATGAGGATATTCATGCTAAGCTGCACAGGGAGGATTTATTAATTTAAGATCAGGTGCAACATGACTATTCAAAGAGCAGACCTGGCCTGGGGGGGCTGCAGGGGTCAGTCAGGCCCCAGCTGCATGCAGAGCATTCAGGAGGATGTCCTCAGCTGCAAGCATGCTGCTAGGACCCAGGTATTGATAAAATTCAGGTTTGAACCAGAATGGTGGAGCCAGAGGTTGGACTCTGTGGTCCTTATGGATTTCTTACAACTAAGGATGTGTGATGGTTGGGGCTGAGTAGCTGGAAAGCTGCACAAACTGAAAAAGGGATCTGAGAGTGTAGGTCCGCAGCTGCTGACTATGAGCCAGAAGTATGCCCAGGAGGACCAACAGCATCCTGGCTTGTGCCAGCAATAGTGCACAGGCTGCTTGGGAAGTAGTGGGGAGTAGTGAAGTCATCATCCCTGGGGGTGTTCCAGAACCACAGGAAAGTGGCACTGAGGGATGTGGGCACTGGGCATGGAGTGGCGGAGTGGGGTTGGGCTTGAGGATCCTGGAGGTTTTTTCCAGCCTTAATATAGCTCTGTGGCTCAATGGCAGAGACCTAGAGATCAGCCTCTAGAAGAACAGGAAAACATAGTACCACTGAGAAGTATTTATCTGAAGGAGTAATGGCAGCCCTCATAGTGAGCTTGTCAGTGCCACTGCTTTGTCAGGCAGGGAGATTGTTAAGGAGTGCCTCCAGCAATTGGGGTTTACAACCCATTGAAGCCATGGAAGCCCTTCTGAGTGCAGTCAGATCTTGAGTTCAGGTCTGAAAGTGACATGCAGGCATCCCACAGGCGAAGCAGAGGCTGGTAAAAAGTATTTGGAAACAAAATTGTTTAGAAAGTCAATGCTTAAATGAGTGAAGTTTCTTGGATCAGTCTGGGAAATCAGTGGCTGATGGTGGTTAACTAAGGAGGAGTTGTGTGGATTTAAGGATTAATGTCAAGGGGAAACACACCCTGAAATGGCAGCAAGTGGTACAAGAGCCTGTCAAGTGACCTAATGATGTTCGAGTTGTAAAAAGTGTATCAGTAAGAAGAAATGATCATTGGTTGGAAGCCTGTTTTGATGTGCAGCTGGAAGTAAGTGTGACCCTGCGAGGTTGCTGGGAGTTGATTCGGAGAGTTGGTTCTTAAAAGATAAAAAGGGGAAGAAAAAAAAATGCTGATTCTGAACCAATGTTGCATTCAGCATTGCCGTTCCTATGATCTTCCCTTTCAGGTCATATGAGTTATCAACTTGTTAAACTGCTACTAATAGCTCAGAGTGGTTTGTGTGTGCATGTGCTGGTTGTGAGTGGAGGTGGAGAAGGGGCCTGGGATGGGAAGGGCAGCAGAGGAGCATGTGTTGGCAGCACTGGGCTGTCTTCCATGGCACTGGGCATGTTGTAGCCCACCAGGGCTGTATTTGGGCAAGGAAGCACAGGCCTGTAGACAGTGCCAGCAGGATGCTTGTATGGATGAGTACATCCTGCCTGTATGGGTTCCAAGTTCCATCCAGCATGAGCCAGAGAGCTGCTGTGTCAAACCGAACACAGGGTGAGGAAAACATGTTTTTGTTCGTGGGTAGATAGGTGAGAACAACAAGTAGTGTTTGCTGTCATAGGAGGAGGGCTAAACCCCAGGACTATTGAAAACAAAACTGTAAAAAGCATATTCAGAAGGGCTGGTGATGGCCTGGAAGGAGGGGAGATGCAGGAAGGATGAGCCCGTGTGCTGCCATTAAAAACACTACTTTAAATTGTGTTTGTTCAGCTGAGTAAGAGCTACTGGACTATCTTTTTTATAACCTTTTTAAGCTTTGAGCTATGTGCTCCACAATACCATATTCAGTCCTTGTGCCTGAAGCTGTTTGCATCCCACTAAGCGTTGGCTGCAGCAGTGCAAATAAATAACTGCACAAGAACCAGCAGAATGCACTGGGGCTACATGAGCTGAGAGCAGAGTCATGGAACACTCACAGCTCTTAGAGAGAAGCTGAAGGAAAAGAGGAGCAGGGGTCACAAATGGAGGCCCAGCAGTAGCAGAGCAGCTGCTCCAACCCCACTGTGGGAAGGAAGCAGGGGCACAGGGCAGAAGGCAGCAGTTCTCTGATAGTAAACTTATCTGACACATCACCTGTATGATTAAAACATTTATTTGTATAACTGTACATCATTTACAATAGTTAAAAAATTAGGCGTTTAAAAGGCATCTCCCAGCCTCAAAATAAATATGATGCAGCTCAGCATTATATGCCCAAAGAGACCCACGAGGAGAGAGCAGGGGGAGATCCACGTAGGGGGTCTCAGCTTCTTCTCCATGGCCCATGGCCTGTCCCCACTCCATCATGGGTCTGAGCTCATTCAGTTCACCCCATCTCAGCAAAGGAGCAAGGCCACTTTCTCCTCCTCTGGCTGCAGGAGGAATTAGCTTAGCACACAGGGTTAGGTGAGTGAATTGGGTTAAAGTGTTTTTCTGTTAAACGCAGGATCGCACAGAATCGCAGAAGGGACCTCAAGGATCGTGAATCTCCAGCCCCCTGCCACAGGCAGGGCCACCAACCTCCCCATTTAATACCAGCCCAGGCTGCCCAGGGCCCCATCCAACCTGGCCTTGAACACCTCCAGGGATGGGCTGAACAACAGCAAGCTGCATAGAATGATAGAATCACGAATCACTAAGGCTGGAAAAAGCCTCAGAGATCACCAAACCCATGCCCACTACCTGTGTCCCTCAGTGCCACATCTTTCTGGAACACCCCCAGGCACAATAATGCCCCCCTCCCCTCCTCTTTTTCCTCTCTGCAGCTGGCTCTGTGGGAGGAATGGCACTGAGGACTGGGTTGGGTCCTGGAGTGGCCAGGTGGGTTGAGCTTGCATAAAGCAGCAGATTGCATCTAGCCCTTAATTAATTGTAGAGAGCTGTGAGCAAGTCACAGGAGAGCCAAAAGGACCTCCAAATGCAGGGCTTTGAGTGCCAGCAGCTGACCTGTCCTCAGTAGTTGTGTATGAAAAGGTAGAAAGGGAAATACAAGGTGCTCAATGCACAATTTTGACCTGGAAATAGATAGGTAAATTAATTAAAAAAAAAAGCCACCACCCAACCCTCACATCAAGAGGTACCAAGGCATCCAGTGTGCTTTCAGACCCTGGAGAAATGCCCCAGACCAACAGTGTGAGTGCTGCTTTCCCTTCTCCTCCAGGAACAGCACTTCAGCAGGTATCACAGCTCCAAAGGGCTGCACACAGCACTGGGAGGGCAGCATTTTCTCCCTCTGTCCATGCTTTATGCTGTACCTCACCCAAAAAAAGCACGGTAGAGCATAAGCTGTGAGTTGGTGAAGCTCCTTGGAGCAGGGCTGGCCACCATTAGTTCAGGAGAGAACAATTCAGGATGTTTGTAAGAACTTTTCAGAATTAAAAAACAAAGTAGAAAAAGTTCTGCTAAGCTTAAAGCAAGACCACAGCCACCCTGTTCATATAGCTGAGCTTAAGGAAAAAATGGAGTGGAGTTGTTTTCAACAGTGACTATATATATATTTATATATATAAAATATTTTATATATATATAAAGTATATATATACTCTTATGATAATTTATAGACTACAGGCTTACCCACTTGCAAAACCACTTTCTTTTTTCCCCAGCAATATTAGCATTAAGAACCTTTTAAATGCTTTAGAGCCTACTCAATATACAAAAATAAATATTGCATACGTGGTGCCCAACCAAACCAAGAACCACAGGAAGCTGTCGAGGATCCCAACCCCACTTACCCCCTTCTCCTCTCCCCCTCCCCATGCCCACTGCCCACGTCCCTCAGTGCCACATCCCCACAGCTCTGGGACACCCCCAGGGATGGTGACTCCCCACTCCATGGGCAGCTGTGCCAGTGCTTTTGGGAAAGAAATGTTTCCTAATATCCAACTTATCTTTGTTGCTTATCCTGTGTGTTATTCAATGTGTTTTCCCAGAGCAGGCAAGCAGGACACTGGGGTGACTGCTGTGACAAATGATGTTAACAACGAACGATGCCAACGGGAACATTCTGAATGAGTGAGTGATGGTAAAAGGAGGTGGCAGGGATTTGGTACTTCTAAATGAGAAAAATCATGGAGATGAGATAGAGAATAAGTCTAAGCCTGAAATCTAGGCACATCTTGCACAAATTTCTTCCAAAACCAGCAACAACAACAAAAAAAAGTGGGTTTTAGTCCTCTTTGAATCCATCTCCAGTATCACCAGTTAACAAGAGTCAGTTTTCAGGTACAGTTCTGAAGTGTGGGTCCTGAGCAGACGTGTGTGGCCCGATGCTGGCCTATGCCATGAGCCCCAGCAGGAGACACACTGCTGTCAGCATGGCACGACCTGACAGCCCTGGGGTGCTGCTGAGAGGGGACAGGGTGGTGAACACAGCATCACTGGCATTCCTGGGCAGCGGCAGGTTGCAGATGGTGCCTTCGCAGCAGGATGTGCAGATCTGAAAGACAGCAGGACTGAACTCGGTTACCTGGCAAATATCACTGCCACAAAGGAAAGATGGAGAGCAAATAATACAGCATTTGGAAATCAGCATAGTTGCTAGTGATTTTTTTTCAGTAGGGCTTGGACTCTGTGATCTTTAGAGGTCCCTTCCAACCCCTACAATTCTGTGATCTCAACCCCTTCTGGTTGTGCAGTAATAATGCATCGCCTAGTGCAAGAACATCCATTCTGCAGGGCTGCTTTTCTCCTCCCCAAAAGTCAGCTGATGATCAAGTAACGATGTTTGGCTGATGGAGGACCAACACTCAAAGAAATCAGCATCTATTCCTATGGAATTGTTGCTGGATGGACTATCAGTTGCATGTTGGTTTTGACCCAATGCAGCAAGGCTGACCACCAGCCTTCAGGAAACATAGTAATGCATATACCCATCCCATTTTTCACACCCAACCCCTCTGCTGCCGTGGTTCTGGGGCTCTCTGCACATCTCAGGAATGAACCAGGGATGTTCAGTGTGCACCAGCTGCCATGCTGCTGGCACAGCCCTGCCTGGTTTCACACGAAGAAGCAACCCTGGTCCTCACCTTGTACTCCTCGTGCTTTACATATGTGCATCCAGTAGACAGACAGTCCTCCAAGGGCACGCAGCGCTTGGTGACAGACACACTCTCTCCGGTAACTCTCATCATGTGTTGGCTGAAGCAGTACCTCGTGCCTAGAAGGAAAGGAAAATGTGTTCACTTGACAAAGCCAAGGCTTGTGGTGGTGTACAAGCAAGAAGAAACAAGGGAGAAACCTTGCACTTCAAAAAAAGGGGATTCTGATATATTCATTACAATACAATGGGGTGAGCTACCATGTCCAAGCACTAAGACCTCTCTCCAGATCAGCAGTTTTCAGCCAGGTTGGTTCTGATGGTTATTACTAAGTGCAAACACCGGGGCCACGGCTGTCTCCTTCCACAGCGAGCTGCAGGCTCCACATGCTGGTAATGTTGTCATTAACTGCATAAAACATCACCTACTGCTGTCTAAACAGGGAGTGTCCAGGAACATTGGTCTCATCCCATGCCAACCAGCCTGATCTTTTTTATTATTGTTGACGTTGAACAGATTTGAGCTCTCAAAGCAAATAAATTCTCAAGCAGATAGAGCTCCCTGACAGGCTGCAAGCGCAGCTGGTTAGTCTGGAATTCACATTAATGTCTTTTTCCTTCCAAGATAAATATTTTTGTGAGGACAGTCGTAATATCCTACAGGAGACCAGAACAGTGCCAGACAGAGGCAGAGCAGCAGTGCTGAGCTTATGGAAAGCACCGAAACAAGCCAGCAGCATCCCAACATGGCTCCCACCTGTGACACTGCCCACGTGCCCTGCTCATGAACAGGCTCCATCAGTGGATGGGGACAACCTCAGTGTCTCTTACCTGAGACAGGGGAGGTTTAGGTTGGATATTAGGAGGGAATTTTTTTCCCCCAGAGGGTGGTGAGGCACTGTTACAGGTTGCCCAAGGAGGCTGTGGATGCCCCATCCCTGCAGGCATTCAAGGCCAGGCTGGATGTGGCTCTGGGCAGCCTGGGCTGCTGGTTGGTGACCTGCACACAGCAGGGGGTTGGAACTGGGTGAGCACTGTGGTCCTTTTCATCCCAGGCCATTCTATGATTGCTGATGTCTGGTACCCAACACCCTGAGTCATCACCATCTATAGACTAGTGAGCATTATGAACCCAAATCAATGCAAAGATTTTGATGCCATCCAAAAAACAGCAGCTTGGGCTCCCCTGAGGAATGTCACCAAAGCCAGAAGGGAGGGAAGTGAACAGAGGAAAGCCCAGGTCCCATATAATAGAACCGTAGATTCATTAAGGTTGGAAAAGACCTCTAGGATCCCTGAGCCCCACTCCAATCCATTCCACCATGCTCAGTGCCCAGGACACATCCCCACAGCTCCAGGACATCCCCAGGGACTAAGTGAGCTGGAGGATGATGGGGAATAGATGGAAGTCCTAAACTTCACCAACTGCAAAGATACATAAAAGCTGAGGGGATTATTTGTATCACTTACACTCCTTCATGTGGCAGAGGCTCACAACCGCTGGCATTTCGGTGCGCTGGAAGCACAGCAGCTCAGGGCTGTCCCTGCAGTTTGACCATGGAGCAGGTGTAGCAAGGTGGGGTGAAGTGGGACACTGCTGTGTGGCTGCTTACCTCTAGGACAATAGACATCCGGAGCCCAGCGGTTGCATTCGTAATTATCTGCTGCCCTTTCGCAGGTGAAACATTTAAATCCGTGAGGAAACGGCGTGGCTGGAAGGAACAAACTGTATTCAGTTAAAATGACCCCATCGATCCCCTTCTGCTGTACTTCTCAAAGGCACATGGCAACCTATTCTTTTTTCAGACATATCTTATTACAACCAGAGCTGCCAGCTCCATCAGGATTAGTCCTGCTTTGTAAGAACCCCGCTACCACTAGCAGCACCAAGAGGGCTCATTCATCTGCAATAAGGGCTCTGTTCAGCTGTGTTTTCCCAGGAAAATTGCCTACTACCCACTTCAAAGGGCACTAACACAAGCAAGGAGTGCTTGTTCTCTTGGAATCAGAGCTCACATCCAGTACTGTTACTTTACCAGGGTTGATAACAAAATATCAGATGGATTAAGTACTTCTGGACGCTGTCCCACCAAAAAAATAAATGGCCACTGTTGAAGGCAGGCTGATGTCCCCAAAGGAAAGAAAAATCAATCTGCTGAACCTCCAATCATTAACAGCAGCCTCCATCCTCGTTTATCTCGCCAAACGAAGAGCACAGCTTCCTAAGTGGTCTCCTGGCAGGGCTTCTGTAGCACATTCAATACATCTTCAAGGTGCTGCCACCATCTCAGAAGGCAGATGGTGACCGGGTCACCTTTATCTCCATGGGGCCAAGCAAGCTGAATCTCTGCACCTTCATGAGATACATCTTGCTCCTCACCCAGCGCTGGAGTGGTGCGAGCCAGGCCCCATTTGGGTACAGGAGGGGGCCTTTGCCATGCAGGAGGGACTTGCCAGCTGTCCTCCATTGCCCAGTCGCTCGGGGTAAGCACCATCAAGGCACTGCGAGCATCTCCAGTGGGGCTGACACAGCACTAAAGGAACAGCCTGGGCTGGGACCCTGCACACTACTGATGATACTCATGCCTTGCCCTGGGCAGCTAGCAGGTCCTGGTTACAGGTGTAACGGTATTGGAATTTCATCTTGCTGAATTCTGAAAAGACAAGTTTTCTTTGGGAGCAGATGGCAGGCACAGCTCTACAAGCAATCCTGTAGAATTAAATTAAAACTTGTACATGATAAAACAAACCAGCTATTAAAAGCACAGTCCATGGAAGCTCTGAAGACACATAACCCCCCTGCATCATTATTTCAGGCACTTCCTTTAATAATCATGGAGTGTTTGGGTTGGAAAGGAACTTGCAGCCCATTCAGCTCCAACCCCCTGCCATGGGCAGGGACATTTCGCAGCAGATCAGGCTGCCCAGGGCACCATCCCATGAGGTTCACATGAGCCCTGCTCTAAAGCCTGTCCATGCCCCTCCAAATGGCATCCCTTCCTTAATAAATAAGTCAGGAATGATTTATAAAAGATACACGCGGTTCTATTTCACCCACACTCACAACTATTGACATGCTTGAGCAAACTGCTTGGTCACAGAGGCCAGAAACCCTTGAAGGAAAAAGTAGAGCAACCCCAATGCCCCTGCCCATCAATCCGCCCTGGAAGCCACGGTCTGGTTTCGCCCTGCAGGCAGTGCTTACTGGAGGGGTGGAGGTAGACGATGTCCTTCACGGTGAAGTCGCGGGGCTGTGCAGCCCTCAGCCAGCCTGCCACGAGGCCCAGCAGCAGGACGTGGGCCAGCCTGGGCTGCGAGGCCATCACCCACCACGGCCGTGCTCATGCGGTGGCCCTGGGAGCGCAGCAGCGGATGGAAAGCTCACCTGAGGGTGGCAAAAACAAAGAAGTGAGCAGCGTGCACGCTGTGGATGGAGCCCACCTCACCAAACCCCCTGGTCCCAACTGGGCAGCGGTGATTTCTTCCTCAGAGACACTCGGGAGCCTTCCAGACATGGGCAACCTGCAGCAGGTGGCCCTGCTTGAGCAGGGCTTGGACCAGATGGACCCCGAGGTGCCTCCAACTCCAGCCATCCTAGGGTCACTTTAGCTCTGCTTCCCAGTCTGGATAAAAGGAGCTGCCCAAACACCCCAGCCTGTAAATAGCAAGGTCTGGGGAGAGCCCAAGGGATGTCTTTTGTTCTATGATGATGTAATGTTATTTAATAAATCAAACAATTATTCTGGAGAGGTTGTTCAATGGACATGATGCAACCTTCTGCTGCTATCCCCAAACCTTTGTCTGGCAGCAGAACGTTTGCATTTTGTTCAGCACCCACCTGCAACCAGCACTGCAATGGCAACTCGGGGCCTTTCATGCCTTGCTCTTGTCTGAAAACAGCTTTTCTATTAAAACACTGTGAAATCCATAAAAATACAGAGGGAAACAGATAACGCTCAGTGTGGTGCCTGAACCACTGTTATTTTAACATCACAGAGGAGGAAGTGCCAGTTTCCACTGGGTTTAGTCCACAGGTGTGCATCAGCCAGGGGAAAATGAAATCATCATTAGAAGCAACAGAAATAAAACAAGCCTCTCCCAGCCACATGGAAGCAAAAAGGACGAGGATGAGTTTATACTCACAAACAAAATAACAAGTAATTGCTCTTTTTTTTCTTTTAAGGGAGGCAAACATGGGTCACTGTGGACGTGACTTAAAACCTGCAGAATTCCGTGCAGCACCAATTTTCCGTTGCCCTCTTTCTCCCCTCCAAATTACACTATCCTGAATTGCAGTTTGGGGGATTAGTCGCATGGTATTTAGATCATACAGTCTGTTTACCAAAGGTCCGAGGCACTGACACAGAAGCCCCAGTTAACTCAATCTTTCCAGCTTCACCGGCACCTTTCCGATTACTTCTTCCTGCCCTCTGCCCTGACACGCCGCGGTGGAAATTAACCATTGGGTTCCTCAAGCAGCAGCCCAATGGCTCCTTGTCAGGTCCCATTAGGGCAGTGACATATCGGCCTTGCCAACACCACTGCTGCAGACAACGGGAGGTTCCCACCCCCGGCTCTGGAAGAGAGATGCTGAGGAAGGAGGCAGCTGGTGTGAGGATGGGTTTGTCTGCTTGGAATTACAGAATCGTAGAATCGTTAAGGTTGGAAAGATATTGAGGTTATGGAGTATGTTCAGGGAGAGGCAACGATGCTGTGCGGGTTCTGGAGCACCAGTCTTATGGGAAGAGGCTGAAGGAATGCGGTGGTTCAGTATGGAATGGAGGAGGCACAGGAGAGACCTCATCCCTCCTTACAACTCCTGAAGGGGGGGGGCAGCCTCTGCTTCCAGGTGGCGGTGATAGTATGAGAGGTGATGGCCTCACGTTGTGCCATGGGAGGGTCAGGGTGGGAATGAGGAATCATTCCTTCTCCAAAGAGCAGTCAGGCAGTGGCACAGCTGCCCATGGAATGGGGGGTCATCACCCTGGGGGTGTCCCAGAGCTGTGGGGATGTGGCACTGAGGGATGTGGGCAGTGGGCATGGGGGGTGGGTGGAAGTCTTAGAGGTCTTCTCCAACCTTAATGGTTCTGTGATCATCTAGTCCAACCACAGCCCATCACCACAATACCCACTAAACCACATCTTCCTGCAACCATCCCCTCCTTGCTTTCCAGGCCCCATCTTCAAATTTCTCTTATCTTACATTTCTCTTACGTTACAGCTGTCTTATCTTTCACTTGTAAGATCCTGCATCGCAGTGCCCTAAGGCAATATTTCTGCTGCCAGAGAAGTAAAAAAGCAGAACAAGTGAAAGCTCCCTCTCCTCAGCAGGATGCATCAGCTCTGAAGTACAAAGCACAGCGTGTCAAGGCAGCAACATCTGTGAGAGTCTGCAGAAAGCACACTGATGGGGTACATGTGCATGGCCAGTGGTACCAACGTGCACCATGCTGAGGTGATGTGTACCAGGGGTAAGCAAAGTCAAAGGAACCACAAGCAGTGCAATGCAGCAAGATCTGATCCTGGATGCAACACAAGCAATTACTGCTTGTGCACATTAGCAATGAAAGAGTTTCCACTACCGAAACTACAGCACATGCATTAATTTGTATCTCTCTACAGCTCCACAAACTGACCCCCAATCTTCTATCTGTGCAACGTTATCACTGCCTGAAGAGAAATGTGGGTGAAAATTACAGCTGCTGTCTGCCCACCAGCACAAGTCAGCACCAGCACCTTGGCTAAGACTGAGGGAATGGCCAAATGTGCCATGCTCCATCCGGGATGCACACAGCTTCCATCTACAGAACCCGCAGGATCTCTTGTGAAGGGTTCACTGGTGCTCCTCAATCCCAGCAAGCAAGAGTAATTAAACAATCAAACACAATTAGTGCTCAAATTACTCCCAGAAACGTGGTCAATCTAATCTCCTTGCTGCTAATTACAAAGCCTGGAGTTCATTGAGCTAAAAGCCCGCATCCTGGGGCAGTGCAGAGGGTACAATATGTTCCCTCCCACCCTCTTCCCTCCTATCCAACCCAATCTTTAACTAAAGATGCAAAACCCAGATATTTTTGTTAGATGACCCTCTTTGCATGTACCTTAATTGTGACCAATGGGAGGCTGAAGTTTCTGGACCTCTACAAACAGTTGTTTTAATGAGACGTTATAAAACTTTGCTTATATTCGTGCATCCCCTGATGCTAGTTCAGATTCAAGAAAGAAAGCTGACTTAGCTGTGTTTTAAATGTGTATTTCAGATAATCAGTATTTGACTAAAAAAAAAGCTTAAAATTCAGGCAGGTCATAATATTCACCAGAGAAAATATAATTTATGGAAATGAAAATCTGTCAAACTGAGCTGAGAAATTCCTGGTGAGATGCAATTCATTCCCATTTCCCTCCACCACTCACAACTAATTTATATTCTGTTCCATGCAATATCCAAGCCTGTGAGTACGGACAATTCCGAACTGGCAGAAAGATGGACAGGAATGGTAAATCAATGTGAGATTTAACCTGCAGGTTTTTGCATGGCAGAGGGGCACCCTAAACCCAACGGATCTGTCCTAATTTGGGAATTCCAGTGGGCGACCTCGCTGCTCCTGGGGCCGGTGCACGGGGCTGACCTCAATGCGTGGCACCCAGACAGCCCGGCTCCACGCGGACGGAGGGAAGGAAACCATGCATGAGCACAGAAATCCTGGGATTTTCCAGCTAATAAAGAAGCAAAAAGGAAAAAAAACAACCATCCAGTGAGACCTGGCAGCCGGGCCTCTCTGCAGAATGGGGGGCAGAGTTAGACTGTTAAATTCTCTCCTAAATAAATGCTATATTCGCTGGGGTGGGTGCGAGGGCTCTCGTCTGGGCTGCTGCCTGGCTGGACCATGCACTGGGTAAAGAAAGGGCCCAGCCCCCTAATCTGCTCCAGACAGGCAAACGGGGTGAATTTCTGTATGGCAGCGGCCATTGGGATCACACCAGCCATGTCCTTCCTGTTTACATTTCAGGTAAGAAAAAAAAAAAAGAGCAAGTGGGAGCACTGGGGTAGGGGAATGGAAATTCCAGCATGTTGTCAACAAAAAATACTCAAATAAATGAAGAGAGAAGTGAAACAGCAGCACCCAAGAGAATTTAAAATATTAAGGCATTTTCTGAAGGTTACACCTAATAAAGCACAATAGAAACAAAAGAAGCCCAAAGACTCTCATAAATCCACAAAATGCAAGTCATAAAATTGTAAGGGGGGAACCCAAAGCTCCATGAGATAACTGTAAGGACGGACCTGCAGCCTGGACGCAGAACTCCTCCCAGCTCAGATTCCCAGTTCAGGCACTGGGAGAACACATCTACAGAAGAGTATTTGGAGGAGCAGCTCACCCCTCTGGTCTCTTAGCTTACATTTGTATTAAACGTGGACAAGTGGGACAATGCAGGGACCAACAGGCACAAAATCTGTGTTTTTACCAGATCAAAGCAACCATTGCTTTGCCCAAGGCCAGTCCTGGATCGACTCACAGAGCAATTTGTTTGTGCTCCAGCCATGGAAAATTCAGGTTGTAGAAACCTGCGTGAGAGCGGCTGGGAGGATTTGGTGGAAAATAGGTCTCAGACAAACCCATCCGTTTGGGATGGGCAGATTTCAGGTCTGGCAGCGAGAGGAGACGGTTACACGGAGTAATTGGGGAGAGAGCAAAGCAGCAAGCGCCAAGACCTGCTGATCAACGCAGTGAGCTCTGCCCAATTAACAGAGCATGCTCAGGCAGAATTAAAAAACAGCTCAGTGACATCCCGAAATCTAACTGGGAAAAAAGAGCATCTTCAAAGGAAAGATGCTTATTTTTAACTCTCTCCAGCAGGGTTGGGTGCACCAATCTTGCACCAACAATAAGAAACTTCTCTTGCTCTCTGAGGACACGCAGACTGGCGCAGTGCTAACAGCACAGGAGACGTTACCGTTAAAGAGCGAGCCGCAACGTCTGCCATCGTGCAGCAAACTGTGCCTTAATAAAACCACACATCAATCTGCACCATTGTGTCCTCGCTCTGCTCCTGCCTCCGCCCTCAGATCTTCAGAGCCCGTTGTGACAGTTCTCCTCGTACATCACCTCGCACATTTGACATGCTAGATTAGGCACCGAACCGCGGGCTGCCCAGCATCCACCCAGCGCCGGGATGGAGGGGCTGAGAGATCCGCCCTGAAAACCCGCTGTTGGGGGATGAAGACATTTTTTCTTTCCGTTATGAACTCACTCACAGCTCAAGCTTTCCCCCCACGGAAAGGCTTTTTCACCAAAACCAGTGCAAAAAACGTCTGCCCGTTTCTACTTTTCACAATGGGCGAGGTATTAATGAAGGCGCTGGCTTTGCCCATTCGCGCCGCTGTGCCGGATCTTTCTGCAAAACAACCCAGCGTAGCTCTGCAGCAGCTAATGACCAGCATGCAGCAGAGCTCTGGGCCACACAGTTCACCCAGAGTTCACACCGCTCTTTGGCTCCTGACCCACAAGTGGGTTTTGGCACAAACACAGTCTGGGCACCCAACACTCGTTCCCAAAGCGTGTCTGAAACTGGGCTGCAAGGAGGAGATGCTGACAAGTGCAGCCAGCCCTCCAGGCAACTGGAAATAATTGGAAGTGGGCTATTTCCAGCCCTGTGCTGCAGGCACCCACATAAAGTTTAGTAAACAACGAGCTGGGACTCATACAATTGTCCTTTAGAATAAACTTCCCATGCTCATTTCTCTCTTGATAGAA